AAAAAAAAAAAAAAAGGCTCAGTGCCTATAGCTCAGCAGCTAGGGCGCCAGCCACATACACCAGAGCTGGTAGGTTCAAACCCAGCTCGGGCCTGCCAAACAACAACTACAACCAAAAAATAGCCAGGCACTGTGGCATGTGCCTGTAATCCCAGCTACTTGGGAGGCTGAAGCAAGAGAAACACCTAAGCCCAGGAGTTTGAGGATGCTGTGAGCTGTGACGCCACAGCACCTCTACCAAGGGCAACATAGTGAGACTCTGTTTCAAAAAAAAAAAAAGAGAGAGAGATGCTATGTTAAGCTAAAATATTTTTCATTTCTTGACAACCAAGGTCAATCCTAAGAATCTGTGGAAAAGCAAAAAAAATACATCCTCTACTAAAAGTTCATGATGTAAGCCCAAGTGGCATGATTTGTTATAGGGTAGGAATGAGATTGGGGATGTTAGCCTTTCCCCTGTTGAGAAGCTACCAAGTTCTAGAAGTAGATTTTTAAATTCCTGCTAATATTCTTGTTTGCCAAGAGCCAAAGAACACAAGTTTCATTCATTTTGCATGGCAAGCAAAGATCTGAACAATGCTTTTCTCTTCTTTTCATGGTAGGTTCCTTCTCATCGTTCAGGTCCTACAGGACTTAGGCCAAAGGCCAAACCACTAGAGGTCTTCTCTGAACACTCCAGCTAAAGCTGCTCACCCATCAAGTCCCTATGGTATTTACTGACTTCCTAGATTACCATATCTGTGAAATCATTACTTCCTATGCATTTGTTTGAATGTTTCCTCTGTTACAATGTATGACAAGAAAGACCTTGCTTGACTTATCTACTAGTATATTTCCAGTATCTAAAAAGGACTGGTCCATAAGAAGATGCTGGATAAATGTCTATTGAATGAATGAACAACTTTCTCATTATAATCAAAAGTCTTCAGGGTGGCACCTGTGGCTCAGTGAGTAGGGTGCCGGCTCCATATATGGAGGGTGGCGGGTTCAAACCCGGCCCTGGCCAGAATGCAACAAAAAAATAGCCGGGCGTTATGAGGGGCACCTGTAGCCCCAGCTACTTGGGAGGCTGAGGCAAGAGAATCTCCTAAACCCAGGAGTTGGAGGTTGCTGTGAGCTGTGACACACAGCACTCTACCAAGGGCAATAAAGTGAGACTCTGTCTCTTAAAAAAAAAGTCTTACGACAAAAGGGGAACTACTACCTGTTTGAATCTTCAAAACATTTTTGTAGAGTTCCATCACTTTCTAGTCTATCTGCAAAATGCTTCAATTCTTCAGAAAGAGAAGATACTAAAAAAAAACAAATTTACAAATTATAAGATAAAGAAAATATACATTTTCATAATGAGCTGCTGAGAAAAGTATAACATACTTAAGGTGGTCACAGCTCTAGGGTCCCCTGTTAAATTTTGGCCATTCCAACCAACCCCCCAAAATGGCCTGACTATTGCCATTTACAAAAATATTTTATTTTATTCTCCAGTAAGTATAGATAAAATGGAAGACAACTCTTCTTTGGCATTTATGATAAGTAGTTTTATAAGTGATGAGTGAAAAAGCACTTTAAGGCTGGGTGTGGTGGCACACCCTTATAATCCTAGCACTCTGGAAGGAGGAGGCAGGAGGATCACTTGAACTCAAGAATGGGAGACCAGGTTGAGCAAGAGTCAAAATCAAGTCTCTAGCCTCGGAGCCCATAGCACAGTGGTTATGGCACTGGCCACATACACTGAGGCTGGAGAGTTTGAATCTGGCCCAGGCCAGCTAAAGAACAATGACAACTACAACAAAAAATTAGCCAGCTGTTGTGAGCACCTGTGTCCCAGCAACTTGAGAGGCTGAGGCAAGAGAATTACCTAAGCCCAAGAGTTTGAGGTTGCTGTGAGCTGTGATACCACAGCACTCTACTGAGGGTGACATAATAAGACTGTCTCAAATAAAAAAAAATTCTATCTCTAGTAAAAAGAGAAAATACTAGCAGGGGGTAGTAGAGAGCACATGTAATCCTAGCTACTCAGGAGGCTGAGGCAAGAGGATCACTCAAGCCCAAGAGTTTGAGGTTGCTGTAAGGCATGATGCCATGGCACTCTACCCAAGGGAATAGAGTGGGACTCTCTCTCTCTCTCAGAAAAAAAAACAAACCTGGTGCAGTGGTTCACGCCTATAACCCTAACACACTGGGAGGTCGAGGTGGGTGGACTGCTTGAGCTCAGGAGTTCAAGATCAGCCTGAGCTAAAAGTGAGACCCTGTCTCTAAAATTAAACCATTAGGTATTGTGGTGGAAAACTGTAGTCCCAGTTACTCAGGAGGCTGGCCCAAGAGTTTGAGGTTGCTGTGAGCTTTGATACCATGGCATGCTACACAGGGTGACAGAGTTAAGACTCTCCAAAAAAGAAAAAAAGAAAGGCAGAAAGAAAGAGTGGTTTAAAAGGTGATCTGCAGGCTGGGTGCAGTGGCTCACATCTGTAATCCTAGCACTCTGGGAGGCAGAGGTGGATGGATTGCCTGAGTTCACAAGTTCAAGACAAGAGTGAGACCCTGTCTCTAAAAATAGCCAGTGTTGTGGTGGGTGTCTATAGTCCCAGCAACTTGGGAGACGGAGGCAAGAGAACTGCTTTAGCCCAGGAATTAGAGGTTGCTGTGAGCTGTGATGCTACAGTACTCTATCAGGGGTGACAAAGTGAGACTCTGTCTCCAAAAAAAAAAGGTGTATCTGGCCTGATATTTCATTTGATAGACTGTTTATCACAGCTCAATTTACAATTGCCAAAATGTGGAAACAACCTAAATGTCCACCAACCCAGGAATGGATTAACAAGCTGTGGTATATGTATACCATGGAATACTATTCAGCCATTAAAAAAGTTGGAGCCTTTACATCCTTTGTATTAACCTGGATGGAAGTGGAACATGAAGGAGGGAGGGGGTGGCAGAAGGAAGAGTAGAGAAAGGAAAGGGGAGAGGTTTGTGGGGTGGGGGGTGTCACATCTTTTGGGGGCAAGACACAAGTATAACAGGGACTTTACCTAACAAATGCAATCAGTGTAACCTTGTTTCTTGTACCCTCAATGAATCCCCAACAATAAAAAAAAAAAAGAGAGAGAGATTTGAATTGCTGGCACTGAAGAGAAAATATTGCAGAAGTCAAGCAAAAGGGAAGCACATACAGGCAGTCACTGAGTTACAAACATCCAATTTATGTACAACTTGCTCTTAGGAATGGAGGCTATAACAAGTATTAGGTAAATGTACCTATTTCAACTTTCATACAAATTCAACTTGAAAGCAAACTTACAGAACCCATCTTGTTCATAAACACAGAGACTGCCTGTAGTAAGAAAGAATGGAGGCAAAGAAAAAATTATAGGCATAAGGTGAAAACAGGTCTGCTAGACTTAATGATTCTGCTAATAATCCCTTAGGAAGAATGCAGAGGGGAAAGGTTATATTGATTACCTACCAAGATAACCCTGAAGTATTTAATTATGGTGATGGTGCAATTCTCAAATAAACAATTTCAATTGGCAAGTAAGCCTCAGTTCATGTACTTTCTAGGTCTTCTAGTTAAGGATTTCTGATCCTGGATGATTGCATATTTTTATTATTAGGAAAATAGCCACTTCCTATAAAGTTGAAAATTGATTCCTGGCAAAGAACATGAGCTAATAATTTCCTTACTATATAAAGAGCTCCTACTAATCAATATAAAAAGGCCAACATTCCGATTTAAACAAATGAGCAAAGATATGAATGGGTAATACATAGAAAATAAAGAATAGCTCTAAAAATAGGAAAAAATACTTATCTTCTTCATAAGAAAAAGAAACACAGATTAAAACTACAAAATGTCTTCTATCACCTATAAAATAGTAAGAAAATCTAAAAGTTTAATGAAACTGTGCTGGTGAGAATGTGAGAAAATAGACACTTGCATCTATTGCTGGTGACAGCTATAATAAACTGATAAAACCTCTCTGGAAGACAATATAGTAATTCCTATCATTTCATTTGAATGAGTTAATTTTGATTCTAGGAACTCATTTTTACTTGCATATGTGCCAAAAAGCATGTGTAAAAAATGAATTCATCACACATTTTAATAGCAAAAAGCTAAAAAAAAACTCCTATAAGCCCACAGGTAAAGAACTGATTAAACAAATATGGTGTACTTATATAATGGAATATTTCAATATGTGGCTACCAAAATGTCAAAGCAGCTCTACAACTCTAATATGGAACAATCTATAAGATAAACTGCTAGGTTAAAAATAAAAAGACAATGTATGGAATAGTACACAGTTATTCACATGATTTTTAAGAATATTTGGAAAAGCAATAAGTATCTCTCTCAGGATACACAAGAAATTGGAGCTGCCTCTAGGGAGAAGAGCTGAGACCAGGGTTTGGAGTAGAAGGGAGGATTATATCTCACTTTCCTACCCTCTGAGCTTCATAAGCATATATTCTTGCAATTAAGAATAAAAAGAGAGCTTGTTTTATGAGGCAGCAGCTTCTGTAAATGGGGATCCTACAAATGAGGCTTTGGCTCCTGGGAGTCAAAGCTCACTCACTTATTCTTAGCAACTTACCTTTGGCTCTAAAACTTTCAACACTGAAGCCTTTAGAATCCCTCAGGAAAGGTTCAAGTTTCTGAACAGAGAACTAAATGAAGAAAAATATTTTCAAGACAAAAACAAACATTTTGTAGGCCAATACTAAATTCATGTAACTTTCTGATGTTTAACAAAAATGAAACTAAATCGGATTTAATTTTTATGCCCAAGACTTTTCAGATAAACAAACAAATAGATCAGGGGGGAAAAAAAAACTGTACATTTTGAGTTTGGTTCAGGAAAAAAAAATTGCATTCACACAAATTACTAGCTTATTTAAACTGAGGCAAACACCAGTTAGCAATATAATATACAATATAATTTTAATAGAAACCTCTAAAGCATGGGTTGTATATTGATTTAGCATGTAGCTAGACCACAAATGTCCATGATAATTTAGATTATGACCTCTACCAATTTAAAATTCCCATTATCTATTGCCAGTGGGGAAAAAAGACATTATATTAGGGAAATCTCTGTTAGCTGCTCAGTTAGCAGCAATATCACCAATGGGAGTAATAGAAAGCTCAAGCTCAGCTGCTGGGATTAAATCTAGCTTTTAAATTTATCCTACCCAGACAGAAACATCTTTTAATCTTTAGAGGTCCTCACATACTGTCAATGTATCTTAGAGTTCACTGTAACAGTTAAAAAAAATAATTACCCAATCCTAAGAACCTCACCTGGAAACTGGAAAGCAGAAGAGAGCCAAGCCGTTTGCTTTCTGCTAAATTGAGGCTGATGGACCTGCTGAGCTCTAACATAAAATATTGTCACATTTAAGGAACTGGACCCTTACCCAATTAACAGAGAAACAAAACTGAAAAATCTCCTCCCTCCTAATGCAAATCCAACTTAAGGCAAAAAACAGCCTTGTCTGATTAAAGAGAGAATTCCAATTTTTCCAAGACCACTGAGGAACAACCTTTTCCCATTTGTGCACCCAAACTTAAAAAACAAAAAAATCGGTGACCAGGTGCCATGGCTGACACCTGTAATCCTAGCACCCTGGGAAACCAAGGCAGGTGGATTGCCTGAGCTCAGGAGTTTGAGACCAACCTGAGCAAGAGTGAAACCCCATCTCTACAAACAATAGGAACAACTAGCAGAGTGTCATGGCAGGCACCTGTAATCTCTGCTACTTGGGAGGCTGCAGCAAAAGGAATGCTTGAGCCCTGGAGTTTGAGGTTGCTGTGAGCTATGATGAGGCCACAGCACTCAACCCCAGGGTGACAAAATAAGACTGTCTCCAAAACAAAACAACTGTTTTCGGAATCTATATATAGGCTCGGTGCCCATGGCTCAAGTGGCTAAGGCGCCAGCCACATACACCTAAGGTGGTGGGTTCGAATCCAGCCTGGGCCTGCCAAACGATGACAGCTGCAACCAAAAA